CAGCTTTGATATTAATGAGTTTTTTGGGTTCATTGAGAACATGGTTGTTGTTCAATAATAAAATTATTCCTCAAAAATACAACTTGCCTAATAATTCTGCACTCCCTGTAGAAAGAAAGAAATGTTTCACAGTCTTCATTAGAAGAAATAATGGCAGCAGGTGGAGCAGGAGTAATAATATCAGAAATAGTGTGAAATAACACCTTAGGATTACCTCTGCTCTTTGCGACAAGATGAGAAAAATAAGCAGCCCTCGCATCTCTAATTGCACTGTTAAAAGAGGCTGAAAGATCCTTTAAGTAAAGGAGATGAACATTTAAATGAATTTTCTTCCACAAGCGCTCAGCTTTACGACAATCACTTTTTATGGAGCGGATATTGCAGGGTAAGGACTTGGAAACAGAAACTGGTCTCATTTTAAATGGACAGATTTCATCTATGATCGAAAAACAATGGTGATTAAATAGATCTGTTAAGAAATCAACGCCGTTTTGTGGGGATAGAGTTAAATTAAAAGCATCTGAGAAATTCTCCGCTGTGGAGGAATTTATGATGCGCAAGATAATTGTCCGGTGGACAGGAGACAAAGGCTCGTGAAAAGACATGTTAAAAAGAATACAGTGATGATCAGAGATAAAAAAAAATGTCCTCAGAACAAATAGAATCAATATTCAAACCCAAAGTAAAAAAAAGGTCCAGTGTGTGTCCTTTGTTATGTGTGGGGCCTGACACATACTGGGTAAAATGAAAAGTATCCATGATGTTGATAAAACCTCTGGCAAAGAGGTCGGAGTCATCATCAACATGCATGCTAAAATCCCCAACTAAAAGCAGTCTGGACAACCTCATAGTAGAGGACAGGAAGTCGCTGACCTCTGATAAAAACAAGCTATTTGGGCCAGGTGGACGATACACCACAGCACAATAAAAAGGATCCTTACTTCCGATTTTAATCAGCTGTAGTTCAAACGAAAGTAAGTGTCCAACTTTCACTGAGCGGCAGGAGAAATGACCCATTAAATGCCACAGCAAGACCTCCTCCACGACCAGATCCCCAAGGCTGGTTAATGACGGAATAGCCATTTGGGCACAGTTCAATGAGGGACGAATAGTCCAAGTCCCACTGCCAGGTCTCAGTCAGAAATAAGAAGTCCAGTTTTTTAGAAGATATAAAATCGTTAAGAACAAACAATTTATTAGTCAATGATCGGGCATTAAAAAGCGCCGTGTTCAGCGGGGTGGAAGCATTATTTTTAGCAGAGGCTCAAGTTAAAGGACGCAAATACTCAGGGTTTGAACCTTCACGCTCGTAGATTCTACTCAATGAGGGGATGAAAAGCCAGTCAGCAGGAGAGTCTGGATGAACCCTCCTGAGGCAGCACGGTCTCGGAGAGCCAGGCTCTGCGTATCCAAGCAGGGACATGGAAAACAAATTCCCCTCCATGGAGCTATTCTGAGGATAGGTCATGAAAGCATGCTCGACATTGCTTTCCAGTCAGACCCCGCCACCAGAAAAGCCCAAGCTTCACCTGGATACCTGCTCTTCTTCCTCTACTTCTCCGTGGTCTGCGGGGATCGCTGAGGACGCTGGCCGAGGATCCAGCCACTGGCGGAGGATGGAAAGTGCCAAAGGAGGAGGAGGATGAGACATCTTGAGCCATCATTGAAGATTGGATGGATAACAGCGTCAAACGATCATAAACCAAGGCACCAGTACATCATTGACTCAAATAGAAAACAATGGCGCTATATAAATACAATTGAGTTGAATTGAATTGATCTCCATGCAACATTGTAGAGGCATGCCAACCACGATGGCCCTACAACATCCAGAGCCTCCAGGAACTACAGGAACAGGGAAAACCTCATCCAC